GAAAGGAGCAGGAATAGAGCTTGGATAGAGTTTGGGATCCGTCCTTCTGCGTGATGTTGATTTTGAAGTAATTTGCACGGGAAAAGATGAGACAGGGGCAGAGAGATTGTGCCCCCCTCTCCCCCCTCCTTTTCCCCCCTTGGTCCCTTAAAAGAAAACAAGATGTGTATGTGTGCTGTAGTCATATTATTTTATTCTAATTACTGCAGTAATGAGTTCTAACTCTGTGTGAGAAACTATTAGTTTTACTGTGTCTGAACTGTTTTCTGTAGCAGAATTCTTCAGGTAAAATATTTATAATGCACATGATCCTAGCACATCCTACGGCGCATCTTGGACAATAAACTTGGGGCACATCAGCACTGTAATAAATGTTAAATCCAGCAGTTGCGCCTGGTGGAAAATGAATTAGCAGTTTCTTACCCGTCAGTTTATAAAGCTGGAGAAGATGCAGATGTCTGCGCAGAAACCCTTCTGTATAAGTAGAATTTGAGGGACATCTGGTGTGATGAGCCCAGCCGAGTGCAGGAAACACGAGCAGGTGTGCTCAGGTTTCTGATAATTTGAGTTGCATTTTCTTGTTTGTGGTGGTGACAGAGCAGGCATCTCATCTGTGTTGATCAGCAGGAGAACTGCTGGTTGCATGGCTATAAAAAAAAATACAGTGTAAAATCACAAAAGGTTCTTTTGTGCATACAGATGTAGAGGTTGGCAATTTAACTACATTGACATTAAAAAAAGGAAGAGTAATGTTTTCAAATTAAATCAGTGAGGTAGAGAAAGGCAGTTTTATGCAGTTGATCCCCAAAATTACGTCTTGTCTCCAGTCAGATTTGTAAAATTTTGTGTAGTTATCCTTAAAAGTTAAATGTGATTTAAAAAGTAATCAATCCCATATTTTTTTGTGCCTTACACAAAGGGATACACAGATTTTTCAGTGAAAACATGAACCTTTACCGTTGTTTCATGTTGAACCATTCAACATTTAGAAGGGTTTAATTTTAAATTGTTATTTCTTCTTATTATAATTTGATAAAAGTTGGCCTGGTCAGGACTCTACATTACCTTGTCCTGATTTTTTCTTCCATATCTTGAATTCATATCCTGATATCTTTGTTTTATTGCAGGAGACACCAACAAACGGAACACAAATTAACTTAAGCCTACACCAGGCTGGTGACATCTGAAAGAGGGTAGGCAGAAATGATATATAAAGATGTGTTTAAAACTAACTTATGGGTGATGGTAATGATAATAGTTGGGCACACTTAGGTGTGATGTGAAAGAACATACTCATCCGGATGTCAAAAAAATGAACTAATGCTTATAAATAACTTTGAACATACAGAAGAATGTGTTTAAATGTGGTCTTGAACTCAGGACTTGAGTCTTCGTGGAACACGTAATGTTTTGGTTAGTACCTATTAGAGAACAAGAAGAAATTTGTATTGAAATTGTTGCATCATAAATTATTTCTGATTGTAATCTATAGCAGTAGTAATGTGACTGACTCAGTGCTCTCTTTCCAACTGAATCCTGGGTTCTGTCTTCACAAATTCATTGCAAACTGATACTCTAGAGGTTTGTCATTGTCCCTGAAAAGAGCATGACCACTGACTTCTAGTGAATATTTTTCTTATTTCTTATTTCTTATTTCAATCCAAAATAATGAAATGGATTAAGACTTTTATGTAGGATAGGAAAGTAAAATTTTGGGAGAACTATGAAATACTGCTTTCTATGAGACTTCTTTCCATCTTTGCAACTGAATCAGTGACATCCAGTTGGTTTCCCAACATTACAGTTGCCGTAACTGACCCAGTTCTGGGATTTTTTGGAGCCATATGTTCATCAGAGAATCTACTCAGACCATCAGTAAGATACGTCTCTTTCAGTGAAATACACAAAGGAGTAAATGTGGTTTTTGAAAAGCTTTTGCTGGAAGTGTAACTGTTTTAATAAAACTGAGAGCCAGTAAAGTATTAGAACCTGTGTTTCAAAACAAACATTTTTCATCTTTCTTTTTTAAAAACACATGGGGATTGGGAATAATAATGGACTTACATTTCTTTTTTTTTTTTTCCTTCCAGGGAAAGCGGACGAGCTGTGCTCTGTGCTTTCTGTCTGACCTGTTTGGAGCACATTTTGGAGCATGTTTGCCACTTAGCAGGGAACTAAAATTCAGGTACATTAAAAAAATAGAAAAAGCATGTTGACTTTGGTTATTATGTAATTTTATCCAATCTGATATTGTTGTTATATTACTGTTGCTGAAAACAGTTTCCCCAGTAATATGTATTTGGTGATCTTTAATGAGTTCCAAGTTCTAAAAATACTCATATGGTTGTCAGTTTGGGCACTGAGTCATGCTGTGTGATAAATGTAATCACTTGAAAAAAAAACAACCCACAAACCCACTAACCCCCTTGTTTTTATGAATGCATTCAAATTCAGGGACATGTGATTTGAAAATATTTTTCTTTCTAGGCACAAGAGGTTGTAAACGTAAAGAGTGAATATGGGTGAAAAGAAGCCAGAACCTTTGGACTTCGTAAAAGATTTTCAGGAATATCTTACACAGCAGACTCACCATGTAAATATGATTTCTGGATCAGTCAGCGGAGACAAGGAAGCAGAGACTCTTCAGGGAGGTAAATTAATTTCAGTGCTACCAAAGATTATTTTTTTTGAGAATAACTGTGCTGTTGATATTCCAGATAATGATGTGGAGTACTACAATTGTGTGGAAGCATTTCTGATAGTCGTTTTCACATCACAAAAGATGTGTATGTACCTTTGTTTTAATCAGGGTTTGTTCTTATAATTCTGTATGTTTAAAGACCAGGGGCGCACAGAAGCAAAATATATTTGGCATATTTTCGCAGCGTGATATATAAGATTGAAATCTCTGTTGCATTGTTCACAGCTGGGACAGAAGGTGATCAGAATGGTCTGGATCATCCTTCTGTTGAAGTTTCACTGGATGAAAACTCAGGAATGTTAGTGGATGGGTTTGAAAGGACATTTGATGGAAAGTTAAAGTGTCGATACTGCAATTATGCCAGCAAAGGAACAGCCCGGCTCATAGAGCACATCCGAATTCATACAGGTATGAAACGTTCTGCAGCACCTCCCTGGCAGGCAGCATGGTATTCACTCACTGTCCTGTCTGCATGTGAGGAGTGAGCATCTTCAAGCAGTATGAGAGTTCTTAAAGTTACTCAACAATCAGAACTGGTTTGGGATTTTTTAAAATAGACTGTTTTTTTTAAAGGTGTGCCACGTAGCTATTTAAATTATGCAAATTTCCACTTACGTTTGTTATTACAGACCACTGAATCTGAAGTAACTATATATGGGAGTAAAGTTTAGCATGAAAGCATCAGTGTAAAGGGCCCTAAAGGTAACTTTTAGTTTTTCAGAAAAGTGAAAAATGTACATGCTGCCACTTGGAGATTTAAAGGGGCTTTTTAAATTCCTCTGTTGTTTAGCTCTGAAGATGTTCCCATTTTGTACTTCCACATCTAGAACGTTGTAGAAAACACAGTAATAAGAATAAAGTTTTTGTATTGGTAGAATACTCAAACAGGAAGGTATATCATCAAATAAGTGATTAATAACAGTAATGAAAAGAAAAAATACTGGAACTGGCATTCTGGGACAGGCTTTGAGTGAAGCACATTGTAAGTTGGATGTCAATAAGGCTCTCTAGGTACAGTTATTGTTGGTCAGATCCTCCCTTTGCTGTGAACTGTTGCTTTTACACAGTAACTCCCAGGATGTATTTTGGGGAAGTCAGTGCTCCTTGCCCTGGCCTGCAGTGTGGGCTTGTTGGGATCGAAAATGGCAACCAAGTAGAAATCAAAGAGTTCTGAGGTTCAGGCTCTGAAGATTTTGTAAATTTTTCTCTTGTGCTACCGTGAGCTGCCTCTGTGTGTAGCTGTTGCTGTTTCCAGATTCCCAGTGGGAATGTTCTGAAGTTTCAATGGCTGATAAAAAACTGTGGCTTGTGTACCTGCATTTGGCACAGCGTTAATGCCAGGGCTTGCTGCAGATCTGCAGAGCAGCAATGTGTTTTGGAACATCATTTTTTTAATCTAGTTTTACGTAAAGCAGTTACAGCTTCACCTGCCATTTGCCTCATATGGTATGTAGACAAGGAGAGAGATTTTGCTTTTAACAGCTTTGCTCTGTGCAGTTCTATTTCTGAGCTTGTGAAATGAGGGTCATGTAGTGAGAGAATCTGTACTGCAGATTTACACAGTTCATTTTTAAATGGTACTTAAAGGTGCAGGAGTATCATCAATTTTAAAATTCCATGTCTTTTCAGTAGCTATTGCCATCTAAAATCTTGCACCCCCAAGTCCACAGTTACTATTGGCTGGTTGTCAACATGAGCAGATGGACTGCTAGAGCTGTGACTGGAGACATAAATTGCTACTGGAAGATGTTGGTGATGTGTGTTTGCTGATTCCAGAGATGTTTTGGATGGCTTTGGTGTGTAGGGGGTTTCTCAGACAGAATGACTGAAATAATGTGGTGTTACTTAATATCAAATGTACTAAATTTCAGCCATACTAGAGAGCAAAAAATAAATCTTCCTTCTTTAAGTTTCAAAATGTGGCTATTGGTTTAGTGTCAGAATTCCTTCTCTTACTGTAGGAAGCTGCCTACCTTTTTTATACTCCCAAATGTTAAGTTAACAGTTCTTTTGTTTTTCAAGAATGCTTTCTGATGCTGCTGCTGCTGTAGGAAGCAGAGATCACTGAGTGGCTAGAGGCAGCAGAACAATTCCTGCTGCAGATTGTGGCCATTTCAGCACGGTTGCAGCATAATATATAAAAAAGCAGGAAAGATTCCAACCAAGAATTTGGATGCTGAGAAATGTCCTCAAAAATCTCTGTCCTGATGGTCATTATTCAGAAGCGGCAGCAGAACAATTCCTGCTGCAGATTGTGGCCATTTCAGCACGGTTGCAGCATAATATATAAAAAAGCAGGAAAGATTCCAACCAAGAATTTGGATGCTGAGAAATGTCCTCAAAAATCTCTGTCCTGATGGTCATTATTCAGAAGCAAATATTCCATGAGCTACACAAATTCAGTCTTTAGGGCAAAGCATAGTACTTTAGGTTTGTGCCTTGACTAATATTTTGTTTCTTGTGGGCATAGTATATGATAGTGTTATACCAAAGGGTCGGAGCTTTACGCGTGGGATGACAGTTGTCTCAGTATTCCTGTCATCAGAGGGTATATGCACAACTCATTTGATCAAGGAAACTTTTGCAAAGGTGCTAGGAAAAGGCAGCCAAGTCGAAGGTCCTGCAGTAAATGAATTGTTTCTGTTTCAGAAAGCAAACAGCGAGAGGGGATACAGGGGGTGTCAGCCCCATGTCTATCAAAGAGCTGCAGCGATTCAGACACCCCTTTATAGCCAGATTAATGGTTCAAACATGTCCGATGCCTAATGAAACACCAGTAACTGCACAATGATAACTCATTTCCCTATACCAATCCCTTCAGTTTTATAATATAGGCAAGAATCTCAGGCTGCCAGAAGCCTTTTTCTTTCTCTGTATAGTTTCCCCATTGCCTTTTCACAATACATCTCGTATCCTTAATTTTTATACAGCACTGCATGGTGTCCTGATGGCAACACTGTTTTGCCACTACCTTAATGGCTCTTCAGAAAGCCCCCCTTTCTTCTTCAGGGTACTCCAGAACAAAGAAAGGGATTTTTTTTTTTGGTTGGTTTGGTTTTGTTTTCTTGTTTTCTTCACCCAAGGGCAAGGAGATCCAAGACCTGAGTGGTGTTTTGCTCAGAAGCTTGGGGAGGAAGCATGGCAAAGGGCCAAGAGATGGTTTGCAAGGACTATGAAGGCTCAGAGGGAATAAATCAGCATTAAAATTAGGGAAGTGATAGCTGACCAGTAGCCTCAGAGCAGTGTAAGTAAACAAGTAATGCGTCCTGGGTAACACGCAAGTGCAGCAGGGATCTGCCCAAGTAATTATGACCCAGGCATGATCATGCAACCATTATTAAGTGTAACTTACTGCAGAATTAACTTCATGCTGAGCCTGACAGCAGGATAATTAGGAGTTTGCCAGCTGTGTCGTATTAAGGGCGTGCAACATGGGATGCAATTCTTTATCTCTGTGGAACCGGTTTAGAGTGAAATAAGACCATTCAGATGGACAAGTTCTTTGTCAGTGCAGGGAGTTTGTCGGTCTCTTTACGTCATCATTTGTAGCAAATCTCCAGGTCTTGACACACATACAATAATCTGAATGTTTATATATGCTTATGGAGAAATCATGGTTTCAGTTGATGCAAATAAGTTACTTAAAGGTAGCACAAAAACTGCTTCCTTGCGTTTTGAAGAACCAGTGATGTAGGGGGAAAAAAAAAAGTAAATCTTCTATTCAGCATCCCAGGTTGTGATTCCAAACTCTGGGATGCTCAGCATGGGAAGGGCTTTCTGTATCAGACACATGCCATCTTATGGGACCTGTACCATTTTTGCAGTGTAACAGTGGCCTCGCTGCAGTCAGTCTCTGGCTTTTACAGTTGTTCTCGATGGATTTCAAAAGCCACAAAACAGATGCATTGCCCTGTGTTGTAAACACGAGAAAATACTTCAAAATTGAAAAAACCCTTCAAGGCTGAAGAGAAGGATCTAGCTCACTTTTTTTGGTGTTTGTCATGCTGTGTGGCAAGAGAATCAGTTGCACAACAGTGATTTATGAGTTGTCCTGGTATTCTTGATAGGGAGATAAGGTGATGGTTCATTTCAGCACCTGAATGTGAATCAAATCCTCCAGGCTTTTCTAACGTTGCAGACCTGGACTTAAAAACTCCTAAAAGGTCAGTCTGTGAAAGGAAAATCAAAAGTTGCAAAGTGTTATGGTACAGGTGTGTTGGCTTGTAATTACCTTTGAAAGTTTTCTGTATACTTGAAAAAGCATTAATGTGAATATCTCTAAATATTATTTAATAGAAGAGCAAAGTTCTGCCTGTCAGAGAGGAGAATATCTGGTGCTGTGGTGTGAGAGAGCACGCAGCTGTCCAGGGATTAGCTGCCTTTTTTGTTTTCTTAAATAACTCTTCAGCCACGGGATACTTTTTCAAAATTCATGTCTTGAGTGGATGCATATGTACGTGGGGTATTGAAATAATAGTTCCAGGGTCTGTGAAAGAAGGAATGTTCAGAAGATACTGAAAGGATGCCCTCCCTCAGTGTTTAAACACCATTGTCATTAAGAAAGGGTACATTTTTGGTGGCGCAGACATTTCTGCATCCAAGTGCTTACGTGCTTTGTAGGTGAGGTTCCAGTTCAGAGCACCACACAAACATCATTGCGTTCAGTCCTTGCCATCATTGCTGCAATTCCTACTCGGGTTATCTGTTATGCTAATTTTGCTTACATTTTCCTATGCTCACTATCACTTGGGTGAGGCAGAGGTGTCTAAATTTACTCCTACCTACTTTTCTTCTACCAAATAGCCAGCTGAAGTCAAGACTAGCGGTGACTGATGCTGAAAGTGAACTGTTTGATTAGCAGCTCCTAGTTTGTGGAACGGAAAGTAGCTTTTTCAAGCACTCTGTGAGATGCTGTAGTATCATCTGTTTTAATTTTCCAGGTGAGAAGCCGCACAGATGTCACTTGTGTCCCTTTGCATCAGCTTACGAACGTCACCTGGAAGCTCACATGAGATCCCACACTGGTGAAAAACCATACAAATGTGAATTGTGTTCCTTTCGCTGCAGCGACAGAAGCAACTTATCTCACCACCGCAGGCGCAAGCATAAAATGGTGCCCATCAAGGGTACGAGGTCTTCCCTAAGCAGCAAGAAAATGTGGGGGGTTTTGCAGAAGAAGACCAGCAATTTGGGCTACAGCAGAAGAGCGTTAATTAATTTGAGTCCGCCTTCCATGGTGGTGCAGAAACCAGACTACCTTAATGATTTCACTCACGAAATCCCAAATATCCAGACTGAAGCTTATGAGAACATGACAAAACCAACCCAGAGCAGTGGGTTGCCAAGAGATCCACAGGACCTCATGGTAGATAATCCTTTAAACCAGCTCTCGACGTTAGCCGGCCAGTTATCCAGCTTGCCACCTGAAAACCAAAACCCAGCCTCTCCTGACGTTGTTTCCTGTCAAGATGAAAAGCCTTTCATGATCCAGCAGCCTGCAGCACCTGCAGGAGTTTCTGCTGTGTCAGCAAATATTCCTCAAAGTTCATCTCCAACCAGCCCGGATCCTCGGCCTACACACAATCAAAGGAACTATAGCCCCGTGGCGGGTCCCAGCAGCGATCGCAGCGCCCACACCAGTACTCCCAGTATAAGCAACAGTCAACCGAGTACTCCTGCTCCCACCCTTCCAGTTCAGGACCCTCAGCTTCTGCATCACTGCCAACACTGTGACATGTACTTCGCGGACAATATTCTTTATACTATTCACATGGGATGTCATGGATTTGAAAATCCTTTTCAGTGCAACATATGTGGGTGTAAGTGTAAAAATAAGTATGACTTCGCTTGCCATTTTGCAAGAGGCCAACATAGTCAACATTGACTGAGAAAACACTCTTTCGTTTAGTTTTTTAACATATTACAGTATATTTTTCATACTTGCTAAAGGAAAGCTTGCACGTTCCCGTAAGGAATATTCACCATTAATCAGCTCGACAAAGGAGGCACATTTCTTTCCACGTGGTCGTAAAACTTGCCAGGGAAATTTTGTGTAAGATGTGGTTGTTATTTTACATGTAGCCTTTCAAAAAAAAAAAAACAAAACAAACTGAGGGAGTGCTTTAAGAATTGGAATGCTTTTACGTGCTTTGGTTGCTAAATTCTAGTTGCTTGCACTTAATCCCAATAAACATTCTACAACTGCAGAAGCAGAGCGTGTGTCCTCAAAGATAGGATGCAATTATCAGGCTATTTACTGGGCACAGCAAAATACATTAACCAGAAAATAGGAAATGGTGGTGGAGTGACACATCTGGTTACTTTGGAGACATCCTTAAAAAACTTAATTACTCCAAACTGGATAAACAGAAGCAACTTTCACATGCAAATCCGATTTGATGTAAAACTTGCTTTAATCTGGTGAAGGTTAATAATGAGTTTTTGCTTAGTATAGTCTAAACTCTTCATGCTAGATTTCAAACACTAGTTGAACTTATTTTTAAAACTCGTCACAGAACTAGAACATAATGGGTTAATGTGAATGAAACTCTGGTAGGAAAAAAGGAAGAGTTAGAAGCTCATCACTCACTAATTATATGTGGTGAAGGTTAATAATGAGTTTTTGCTTAGGATAGTCTAAACTCTTCATGTTAGAGCTCAAACACTAGTTGAACTGTTATTTTTAAAACTCATCACAGAACTAGAACATAACGGGTTGTTGTGAATGAAACTCTGGTAGGAAAAAGGAAGAGTTAGAAGCTCGTCACTCACTAGTTATACAAAAGAAAAATGAAATACGACACCTTATTTTAAACTACACTTACCAAAATTTACATGTCATTCTTTTTTAAAAGGAGGAAATTTTTAAACAGTCATTATAAAGAGCTTGTAGAACTAATATATATTCCGTGAGATTTTTTAACTGCCTTAAACTAATTTGTACAGATATTTAAAATTTGCACAATTAGCCTTTTGTCTTGCTGACAGAAGTTCTACTAGAAACGAAGGAGAGGTTTACAAATGAAAAAGCATTTGTTCAGTTGGATCGCGGGCCAAGCTCCAGCGGAGAGGTTGCCTGTATGTTTGAAAGTCCTACAATCTGCTTTATTGTAAATTTGGGACTGGGTTTGTCTCATCCTTTCCCTTGGACTCGTTGTCCTTTCCTTGTGCTAGAAATGGAGGGAAGGGTTTTCTGAGCTGTCGGTGCGGGAGGCGGGCGCAGGCGTGCCTGGTGGAGGTCAGTGTGGTGAATAATTGCAGGTGGTAACTCAAGGTGTACATGAAGTCCCTTGCACACATTTTGGGGTTGTTTTTTTATTATACTGTACATCTTAACTTTGGAAGCACCTAGGCTAACGGACAGGCACTTTAATAGAAACCTAAATTAAACATCCTAGCAAAATTAATTAAAGCTCTTAATATGCTACACAGCAATTTGTAATGTTTCCAAAAGTGAAGAACTGTTACTTTTCCCCTGTTTAGACATGCACTTTTCCCTTAGTTTGTCTTACTCGAGACAAATTAAAGCTTCCCTTACATGTTCCCTTCTATTATCAGCAAAATATGGCAGCAAATACATTTTTTGTTAAAAGCAGGAAGATTTTATTAACGTTCTGCAAGTCAGAGGTTGGAATCTGAATAGCAAATGTTTGGCTTTTTCAAATGTACATCGTTGTGGGAGCCAAAGCTTCCTGAAGCTGATGGAAAAACTTACAATGACTTCAGTGTAAGATCAACGTAGGAAAAACCACCCTTCTGAGAATTTTAGTCTTAGAAGTAATTTTGACTTTAATGAATGAGAAATTTGGGAACTGAATACGATTCTGTCTCCCTGACTTACCTACTGTTGAGTTGTCTGTGCTGAAGTAACCAGCTGAAGGGATTGGATTCTCTTGGCTGCGCGTTGTAGTAAAGGGGTCAAAAATATGCCTTTGAAGTTTCCTTTCCAATGTAGTGAAGATGAATGATGACACACTGTCGCTTCTAAAAATGCTTTTGGTTTCAGGCCTTGTCAAAATCCATTTCTGTGGATTTATAAAGCAGAATGTAATCTCTGTTTTTCGTAACGACGCTTCTTGTAATTCCAAAATATCCCTTTGTTGCTTCCTACTTTTAAAATTTATTTTATGAGCAAAACAGCAACTCAGTATTGCATAAACACACAGAGTGCTGTATTTTAAGGACTGAAAGTTGGCTGAACTGGAATCCAGCTGGACGTTACTGCTCCTGTCCAGGTTTTGTAACGTGGCGCTTCCAGTGGAAGAATAACGTAGGAATGATCATATATTGACACGTTCCAAAATCTGAATTTGGCTAAAATATGGCATTAGAACTACAAACGTTGCTGTTGAGGACCATTACAATTAGTGATTTTTAGAAGTCCTTTTCCTTGTCTGTTGATGGATGATGCAAACTGCTCTTCTCCTCCTGCCCCTGGGCTCAGCAGGGAGGTGCCTCCTGCACACAGAGGTTTGAGGTTTCACCCTTCCCTTGATTTCTGAACCATGATGCTCCCGAAGGAAATTTTAGATGGGAGAAGGGTTGGGTCACTAGAGGCAGCTGGGAGCACGAGGAAGCCCGTGTGATCTTATTAAAAGGGGCCTCTATTTTGGAGGGGATCTTCTCTTGCAGGGGAGCCTATGTTCTTAATAATAGAACTCAGTATGAAAAAAAAAAATCTAACCCCAAACCTTGCAAGTTGTTGTTTAGAAGTATTTTAATCCTGCTGACTTGATACCATTTCTGCTTCGAGGTACCCAGGGAAAACCATGGTGAGCGTGGAGGAGGTGCTGAGCAGGGATAAAGCTGGTTTCCCTCCCATGTGCAAGCCCCTGTTCGTGGGGGGGTTTTAGGCAGCAGCAGGTTTTGGGGTGCATCCCTCCGTTCTGCAGCCAGAGCTGGGGGGTGGGGCCCTGCCCACATCCTGGTCCCACGCGCAGGGACACCCTCTGGACTAGAATTCCACGTTTTTCAACCTAAAACTGCCTGTTCAGTTGTGCCAAACAGAACCCTGACTGTATCCGTTTCCTTCTGTCTGCTGGGTAGGTTTGGAAGGTCTATTTTCATGTCAGTTTTTTCCTAATGTTGTACATACGATTTACTTTAATTTAAAGACCAGGAATAGTACTGGAAAAATGTTTTGGAGTGTGATCCCGAGGATTCCTTTGCAGGGATAGGCCTTACCCTGCGTGGACAAGGGATGCTGGGCAGGAATTGTAGGATCGAGTCCTTGGTTAGTGGGACTTCTCATATCGAGTTCTCCATGTGCTTCACTGCACTCACTTGGGTTTGGGGTTTTGGTTTTTTTAATAAAAAACCCAAACCCTCACATCCTTATATTATAAGGTGGTGATTAGCATTTTTAACTTGTATGGACAGGGAAGTTTGGGAATGAGCTGAAATGTTTCCATAGCTTGACCCTGTTCAAGTTCTGTAGCTGCAAACCATTACCTTTGGTGGTTTTTTGTTTGTTTTTATTGTAATAGATTATTTTATAGATCTGTTGACATTTTTAACGTGCACTATTTATAGTCCTTTTAATCCAAGCTTATTATTTTGGGACTGAATATTCCAATGAACATGCAAATATCAGCCTGAAGATCTTGGTTGATCATCTCAGTTAATACTTAAACCACCCGGGAAACAGAGAACAGGGAATAATAGTTGTTTCTTTTCACAGACACAATGTTTAGATGGAGAAGATTTTGATGTAAAATATTAATTGGCATTTTAACAGAAAACTCCCGGCTGGAAAACACATTCCAAGAGTGTTTCCTGGCAAAACCAACCGTTGCCATTGGGTTTGTTCCAGAATGTTTGGGGGGGGTTTGTTTGTTTGGGGTTTTTTTGTTGTTATTGTTTCTTTTTGACGAAGGGAATGTAATTTAGAAATCTTCACTGGCAAGTTTTCTATTCATTTGAAGCTTCTTTGCAAATCTACAGCAAATGGATGTTCTGCTGCAGGAAATCTAGTCCCTGCTGAAGCGGTTTTCATTGCGCAATCTTTGTGTCTGTGCTTCTAAGTACCTGCTTTGTTAATAATACGTATTTCCGTGTAAGAGCATATTTTGTATGCAAAAAAAAAAAAAAAGAAAAAAACCCCACCCGTTAGACTTGTAAAATAAATTTTATTGTGTAGTGAATGTTTTCAGATGACAAGGTTAATTCTGAAATAACTATATCTAGTGTAGGTCATGTTGTGGAGCTTTGCTTTTGTAAGATACGAATAAAATAACACTTTCTAATTAAGCCTTATGTTAATTCTTAATTGCTTGTGCTTCCACAGGCGATGCTGTGGCCTAGGTAAGGTGTGGAAGGTAAGCACGGGAGAGGGTATTTATGTTTCAGTCTGCTTAAGTTGAAAATGCTTAATTTTAGAGCTGAATCATGACACGCTGTTATTCCTTGCCACTGTTAATCTTGTGTATTTGGTCATTTTCCAGATTGTTTTGTTCCTTCTATTCCTGTTTCTTTATCTATGTCTGAAATCAGAGTTTTTATCCTGTAAGGTGTTTGTTGCCCCATATGAACTTCTGTGTATGTTGTTGGCAACTTTGAAGGCAGCACCAAGTTCCTTCGGACGCTGGAGTTGATCCCTACATGCACGTGGATGTTAATTTAACTGCATCTCACATTTCTTGTTCTTGCAAAAATTCTGTCGTGGAAACCAGCAGAGGAGCCAAGAGCCTGATCTAAAAAAGGGACTTGAGAAACTGAAGCAGGACATGGATTAAAGGCAGGTCCTGACGTCCTGGCTTTGGCTGCTGTGGTTCATTGTCAACTGGCTTCGTGCTTGAAAGGCAAGACTCCATCTCACTTGGTGGTTTGGTGCCTTCCCAGGCAGGTTTCCTTCTGGAAATGCCCGGCTGCCCCTTGGACAGAGCAGAGAGGTCACCACCCAAGGTGCTCCTCAAACCATCTTCAAACTGGTTGGTCCCACTGGAAGGAGGAAACAGGACGGGCTGACTCCCAGATGTTCTTCCCAGGCTGGCTTTTCCTAGGATTCTGTGAAATTTAAAATCTACAGACTGTTTGTTGTTGGCTTGATCTTCAAAGTCAAACACAGTGTGCCAGGCTCTATTTCTCCTCCACAACACGGCAGAGGAGTTAGAGGTGACACAAGCCTCCAGAGAAGGAATCTGTGTCTCTCAGGTGTTCCTCTGAGGAGCACTGCGTTGTAAACACTCTGGACTCTTAAAAACCACCAACATTCTCTCTGTCGTTATTTTAAAATATATTTATTAACCACATCGGTTGCCTCCTGCTGGAATGAAGAAGTTACACTTGCAGCAAGGTCAGAATATTGATTTTCTCTGCAAATTTGGTTTTTCCAATTATTTCCTCGCCGCAAATCTTCTAAAAATTCTGCTTTGAGTTTGTTGAGTTCTTCTGCCAAGCTCTTCATCTCACTCGGGAGGACGTTTTTACCTGAAAAGTAAAACTGAACTTTTCACTTCATGTTTAAAGACAAAATGTAGAGACTTCAGCTCACGTTCTACAAATAACTTTGACCAGATTTCTGAAGATGACTGCAGGGTTGGGATTCCTCGATTTACCCTGATTTTTATGGCTTTGGCCTGAGGTTGCCAGCCAGCCCCTTGAATATGTTGCTCGTACCTTTGGCGCTGATTTTTATGGCTTTGGCCTGAGGTTGCCAGCCAGCACCTCGTACCTTTGGCATCCTTCATGGCCTGAGAGATGACACGTCTGCACATCCCATCAGCCTGATGGATGGTACTTGCTGCACAGATGGCTCGATCCACCTCCTGGCCAGGGAGAGAGACAGAAAGGAAGAATACATGCAAAAACATTTTTAAAAGCTATGTTTTTTTTTTAAAACTATACACATTTATGGGAAGAATACATGCAAAAACATTTTTAAAAGTTTTGGTTTTTTTTAATACCATACACACATATCAGTGTTTGTAAAGGCAGTTCAGTGATTTAACTTAATAAGGCCTTAATACAATCCATTTCAAATAGGATTAACTTTTCTGTGTGTGCTTTTGCAATCCAGAAATGCAATGGGGATTTCTCAGTTCCTGTCCTCCCAGTGCTGTGATTCCAACTGGGGAATAACTGACTCACTCCTTCACCACCAGCTGGAAGGGCCAGGACTGTGAAGGGAAGCAGCACTACCTTTTGCTCAGGGTTCTCCTCGTTTTGCTTCACTGGATTTTCCAAAGCCGTGGCTAGCAAACTGATTATCTGCTCACTAAGGAAACAAATGAGAGTAAACCATATTAATCAAACACTCTCCCTGAAGACTGTTCTTTCATTTTGTAATGACACCTCATCCCAGGGGAAAAAAAAAAAAGCAGCAAGTTTTCAGTTAAATTTTTGAGGTGATCAATGAAATAACTTTGCTACAGCAACTTCGATGAAACCCAATTGTAACTAAAACTACAGCCAATTCTTTCCAGTCTTAATGTTTCAGAAAATTTACATGGATTTTCAACAGGTTAGAAGCGCAGTGAGATTTGAGGTTAACTCTGCAAAGAATGATGGCTGTGAGCTCCCAGCAACTGCTGCCTGTGGTGTGTAACTGACTGGCTTCCAAAAACCACCATACGGAGTATTTTTTTACATAGTGTTTAAACACAATAAAAGCTTTTCTACCCGCCTGTTTCTGAAAACACAACTTATTGAAAATCCCACCATCAATCCAGTGACATACTCATCCTCTAAAGTGCAATCAAAACTCTTCAGAATCAGGCTGTTCCGTTCCCAAGCGTTTTTCTTGAGATCTGGCATTTCTATTTTTCTTGCCATTAAACATATTGTCTGGTCGGGTACGGGGTGACTTCTTAGACGATTTCTCTGCAAGCAGCATTCAAGGGGACAGTCTAAAAATAACTGGCAGAAGCTCAAGGAATCTAAAAGAACATAAACAGACGTCCTGGTTTCAGCTGGGAGAGAGTTAATTCGTTTTGTAGCAGCTCAAGGAATCTAAAAGAACATAAACAGATGTCCTGATTTCAGCTGGGAGAGAGTTAATTCGCTTTGTAGTGATTGCTGCGAACAGAATGTCTATAATGCATATTGGTGTAGTTCTTGCTCGATGATGTTTATACTTTTCAAGTGCGAACAGAATGTCTATAATGCATATTGGTTTAGTTCTTGCTCAATGATGTTTATACTTTTAAAGGACTTTTTTCAGCTTCCCGTAGAAGCTGAGGAGCATAAACAGAACGATGGAATGGCCAAAGGAACATTCTGTACCCTAGACATCACGCTCAGTAGATAAATGGGGTTGGCTGTGGGGCAGGAACTGGCAATCCCTGCTCAGGATGGGCTGGGTGGTGAGAGTGACTTGTGTCTTATATATTCTTTTTTCCATTAGTATTATTTTTATTTTCCTTTTCCATTATTGTTCTATGAAACTGTTTTATCTCAGCCCATGTGTTTTTTCCCCCCTTTCCCCTTCTCTGTCTGTCCAGGGGAAAGGGGAGAACTGCACTGTCTTGGCTGTTGGCTAAACCACAATGTACACTTTTAACTTTTAAACCCTCCAAGTAAAAATGTCTGAGAGCAACGTGCACGAGAAAGGCTTTACATGAATGAGTAACTTCTACACTAGCTCTGAGCCTAAAAAAAATACAAACTGGTAAATAATACAAATGGTTTTAACTTTCAAGGCCACTCAAGTGGCAATTTCTGAGATCAACGTGCATAAGAAAGGCTTTAAGCGACTTAGCTATCTCTAATAAGAAAGGAATAAAGCTAAGATGATGCAGACTGTACTGCAGGAATCTAGCAATTAAGAATAACAAACGGTTCTGCAAAAGCACGTTAAAAAAAGGCAGGTAAAGAGCGCCCAACTTCTGACAAAGCTGCAAACGTTTTTCCGCGTAGGAACAAAGAGCAAATTACATTTGCGCGCCAGCTGGTACACCTCGTATCTCATGCTCTGGTAATAAAAATTGTCATCCAAGACGAGGTAGAGCGGCCCGGCCGTGGGTGCGGGGGTCCCGGCGCGACCCTGACGGTCTCCCGCGGCGATCAGCCCCTGCCGGCGGCACCAGGCCAGGAACCGCTCCCAGCCCGGCTGCTCGGCGGCGGGAGGGGCGGACGGCGGCTCCCCGGTGACCAGAGCCCGCAGGAACCGCTCCAGGCACTGCAGCAGCTCCCGCCGACTCCGCTTCCAGCGCGGCAGCTGCGGAAAGAGGCACGGAGGGGTGAAGGCCCGAACCGTCCCTGGGCGCCGCCATCTTGGCGGCCAGGCCCCGCTTCACGGCGTTGCCTAGCAACGCCGCCGTCCCCGGGCCCCTCCGCCGCCGCCAGCGCTGACGGAAGGCCGGGCCGCCGTGCGGTGCGGCAGCCGCTGCTGTGCGCATGTGCGGGCCGGCCCCTGGCGGGCGGGGAGGGGACGGGACGGCAGTGGGGTCACAGCAACTCCCGGGAGAGCGGGTGGAGCTGCGCGGAGGGGGAAGGAGGGGAGGTGTGGGCCCACAGCCGGGGGAAAAAAAAATACAAACTGGTAAATAATACAAATGGTTTTAACTTTCAAGGCTGCTCAAGTGGCAATTTCTGAGATCAATGTGCATAAGAAAGGCTTTAAGCGACTTATCTATGTCTAATAATAAAGGAATAAAGCTAAGATGATGCAGACTGTACTGCAGGAATCTAGCAATTAACAAATGTTCTGCAAAAGCACATTAAAAAAAGGCAGGTAAAGAGCGCCGAACTTCTGACAAAGCTGCAAACGTTTTCCCGCGTAGGAACAAAGAGCAAATTACATTTGCGCGCCAGCTGGTACACCTCGTATCTCATGCTCTGGTAATAAAAATTGTCATCCAAGACGAGGTAGAGCGGCCCGGCCGTGGGTGCGGGGGTCCCGGCGCGACCCTGACGGTCTCCCGCGGCGATCAGCCCCTGCCGGCGGCACCAGGCCAGGAACCGCTCCCAGCCCGGCTGCTCGGCGGCGGGAGGGGCGGACGGCGGCTCCCCGGTGACCAGAGCCCGCAGGAACCGCTCCAGGCACTGCAGCAGCTCCCGCCGACTCCGCTTCCAGCGCGGCAGCTGCGGAAAGAGGCACGGAGGGGTGAAGGCCCGAACCGTCCCTGGGCGCCGCCATCTTGGCGGCCAGGCCCCGCTTCACGGCGTTGCCTAGCAACGCGGCCCGCGCCGCTCCTACGCGCCGCTCGCCGGCTGGCCAATGAGAGCAAGAGAACGCGCCGCACTGACCAATGGCGACGGCCCATCCGGTCCCGCCCCCGGCTCGCTGGGCCCGAAGGCCTCCGGCGGGATGAGCTCGTCGTAGCTGAGGAGGGCGCAGGCCCAGCCGGGGCCTTGCGGGAGGCGGCGGCGCAGGGCGCGGCCCAGGGTGGACTGAAGGAGGGGAGGTGTGGGCCCACAGCCGGGTGAATGTGGGGAAGGAGGGGAGGTGTGGGCCCACAGCCGGCTGAACGTGGGCCAGCCGTGTGTCCGGGTGGCCAAGGAGGCCACCAGCATCGGGAATAGGGTGGCCAGAGGGACTAGAGAAGTGGTTGTCCCCCCCGTTCTGGGCACTGGTGAGGGCCCCCCCCTCCAGAGCTTTGGCTCCTCGTGGCGACAAAGACGTTGAGGGGCTGGAGTGTGTCCAGAGAAGGGCAACGGAGCTGGTTTGAGGGGTCTGGAGAGCAAATCTGGTGAGGAGCAGCTGGGGGTGTTCAGCCTGGAGAAAAGGAGGCTGAGGGGAGACCTTCTCACTCTCTGCAACTCCCTGAAAGTAGGGGGTAGCCAGGGGGGGTTGGTCTCCCAGGAAACGGGTGATGGGACAAGAGGAAATGGCCTCAAGTTGCTCCAGGGGAGGTTTAGGATGGATATTGGGAATAATTTCATCACAAAAAGGGTTGTCAAGCATTGGAAGAGGCTGCCCAGGGCAGTGGTGGAGTCCCCATCCCTGGAGGTATTTAAAAGCCGTGGTGCTGACATGGGTCAGCGGTGGTTCAGTCAGTGTCAGGTCGCTGGTTGGACTGGATGATTCGAAAGGTCCCTTTCAACCCAGACACTTCTGTGAACCCAGCTGAGTGACCCTGGGGGTGCCCAGCCGTGGGGCTTGTTACCATCATAAAATCAGGATACTACCAAGTGTGCCTGATTGATGTTACCCTGATGATTTATGTTAAACTATATTACTGTAATGTGCTTGTTAATAAAGTCTGAATTATAGGAATATTTAATTCACGATAACAATTTAGGATTCTAAGGAATTGAGAAAGACAACACTTTTTTGGAAGACACTTCTTGCCAGTGCAGATCTTTGCCTGCAATCTATTTTGGCTTCTTTTGTCCCGCTCTTCAGTGAAATGACCATCTGAGGGATTAGAAATGTTTTCTTGAAGAGGCGATGCCATAATTTATTCAGTCTCCTATGATTCTTTCCGTGGCTGGTCTCCCTGTATGGGGTCACTTTTATAAACTACCAGAATGGGAAGATAACACAGACAGCAGGTAATCAGAGGTGGGATCAGGGTCCCAGCATGGACAGGGTTGCACTGAGGAGAAGGTTTGGAGCGAGACACCGGCCCTGCCCCGAGCCTGGTGTGGGGGGTACGGCTGCGTTCAGTGGGTACCAGGGTGTCCCCGACACTGCACCACCAAGGGGACGGGCCAGGAGGCAGACAGGCTGCCCAAGAGGTCAGTCTATGGTCTCATTTTCACAGGAGCCTGTGGCTAGAGGAGAATAAATTGTCTGTAAATAACTGTATCCACTGCTCTTTGGCCCACGAGCAAGGCTGCGCTTCAGAAGAGTCCTGTTCTCTGATACTGTTGCAGATTTAATCTAATGAGAGTTGAACTTCAAGCTTCTGATTTAAAAAAAAACCCAAGAGGTGAGGTAGAAGAGGCACAAATACAGCCAGCAGCAATTAGCAGAATAATGGGACGTTACAAAATCGGTGTTTGTGCCTCTTGGCATCAAGTCTTTTCCAGAGGTATGTGCTTTCAGAAGGCGTTTGGCTGCGTGAGGAGAGGACTGGAGGACTGCACCAGTAACTGTTCCCAGCCCAGTTACTGGTGGGAATGGGATGAGGGTTCCCAGGAGGCTTCTCAGACCGTGGGTCTCGGTGGGACCGCGGGTCGCTGGGGTCTTGAAGGAGCTGCAGGAAACCGGGTTGGTACTGGCTGCCTGAAGGGTGGAAACACATCTTGTGAAGCATTTAATGACTTGAGACAACAGATTCTTTACCATTTTTAAACAGTTGCTAGCATTTATACTTATATTTAACTCTCTCTGACCCTCCCTCATAGCGTTTACACGTCTCGTTACGCTGCTTTCCATACAAGCAGTAAAACAGCATTTCTCCTTCAAGCACTTCATCTATTTTATCTCATATGATGCTGCATAGAAAAGCCTCCTAAGCAGGACAGGAGACATTAGGGACTTCGCTTACAATGATACAGTGATGTAAACATAGCAAACATGAAGCAAAGAAGGTTTTAAATGCTACGAACCTCGGGCCAGGGAAATGGGATATGGTAAAAAAGTCAGGACTTGATGTGGGAGGCTGGAAAAGACACCACAGAAAATGGAGTTAGCAGAAAACACAGATTTCAAAGTGTGGCTAATTATCTAGCATTAAGCTAGTGGTATTTTAGAACTAATTTTCAATTCCTGTGACATTCTTCATATTCCCTTGCAACATTCTGTTTTGATAATTTTTTTTCTTTTGTTTTATCAGCACCAGACCCAGAGCCGGGCTCAGCGGCTTCTCTGGTGTTTGGCTGCAGAATTCAGAGTTCAGTTTTTGGCTGCCCTGCTCAGGAGCAGCCCGTTCCATCCCGTACTGCTCACAGCCTGTGTTGGCAGGGTCCTACTGACCCAAACAGAAATCCTGTCTAACACATTAGAAATAATTATAAATAATTGGAAATTCACATGGTTTCGATGTATCAAAAAGCTCCAAAGCCATTAGCATTACACAGCACTGTGTAATTTGGATTGCTCAACATGGAATAATGCAAACACGGGTCTATCTTACCTGATTATTTCTTGTGTTATGACTTGAGCTGTTGCTTTGCTTTGGTTGCTGCACATTGTTATCCCTGAAATAAAAACCACGTCATCAGGCAAATCCCCGTGTGCTTTATCTGCCTCCAGGGACGGGGTGTTTTCCAAGGGACGAGGCTACAGCTCCGAGATCTGGATCTGTTTCTGATTCCACCCCTTTCTGGCTTTGGCAAATAATCTCAATGTGCCGTGCCCCTGCCTCCATGTAATACAATTATCAGTATCAATTAGGAAAGCACACTGTATTTGGGGAAAAAATGCTTGAGAACTGACTATTAAACAACCTACTACTACTATTAGCAGGGAAGGAATTTTCTTTGAGGAGGTATAGAATTCTTTGTTATCAATTAGGAAAGCACACTGTATTTGGGGGGAAAAATGCTTGAGAACTGACAACTGGAGCTATGAAACTATCTAACAGCAGGGTGCTGGCTATTAAACAACCTACCACTGCTATTAGCAGGGAAGGAGTTTTCTTTGAGAAGGTATAGAATTCTTTGAACAGATAAAGCATCTAATTGCTTGCTAAATTAAGTGCTCTCAAGTGTTGAAATATGCATTTGTTTTAAGTGAAATACCTGTCTTGGCTTCTGCTTTTCCTGCAAAATTTTCTTTTTATCGCGTCACGCTTAATTACTGCTAATACAGTAATGATTACTACTGGCAACACGAGGAGGAAGAAGATGAGCAGACCATCGCGAAGTGATGTATCTAGAGAAAAAGAATTGAAATCACATGAGATAATAATCTTGTTTAACCTCACATTAAAGCATTTTTTTCTGCTTAAAACACCTTTCTGTTGTAAAAACTACAATCTCAGAATTATTATAGCTTAAAACTAATAACTCCACTGAAATTTATCAAATGCTATGATGAGACAAGTTGGATTTGGCCTTATGTTATCCCGAGTTCTTTCTGCATTACCCGCCCCATGGTGTGTGATACACAAACTTTTTCCTTTTCCATGTATTTTTCAAAAATTCTAAAGCAGACAATTTAAATTTGTATTTGCTTACCCACAATTGCTCTGCACGTCTTCTTTCCCTTCCTAAGCTATTCATAAATACAAAATGTTTTTTCCCTTTCCCAAAATATGAATTTAGTAAAATTTGATAAAATACGAATTGTTTTTTTGCCTCACAAAGCTACGGGGGATGAACTTTGCTTGTAAACAAAGAGGGAAGACATTGTTCGTGGTCTCTCGGTTTGAAGGGCAGCAAAATCTACTCCTTCTCCCTTTGCAGAATTTCTTGCCAACTGCCTCTTGCTGCATCCACCTCCTTAACCCCTCTTGTTTCTGGGAGACCCTTTCCTTATATAAAGGCTGCTGGTTTCATTCTCAAGCTTTAGCCTTCCTCTGTGACACCCGTTGTATCAGAACTCTGCTTTAAATACCTAAGTAAAAAAATCTAAATATTTAGCTATTTCAAAATGTAACAGTAATTTATGTATTGCTTTTAATTTCAGTAATTTAATGTCTCGCTTCTTTATCTCAGACAGAACAGAGGTCACATTCTTCCCTGGGCCAACCTCCTTCCTGTCTGCAAACTCACACATCAGATAATAATGTTTGTTCTTCGACTCAGTCCACGGTTAAGTGTCCCATGCAGTAGAAAAAAAACCAAACCAAACAGTTAAAAAGAGATTGGAACCCCCAACCCCTTCTTTTTTTTTTTTTTTCTCAGACACTGGAGGCAAAAAGAAGGCCAGTTTCACTGTCCTACCTATGTGAGCTGGGCCACTGTCCAGGCTGCCGCCGTAGCCCGACTGGTTGCAGAACGGCGGGGCCCATCCGGAGCGGCAGTGGCAGTTCCCGTTGGAGTTACACACCTAGGGGTGGTACAGCAGGGATCAGTCAGACAAACAACACCCTCCTGGACACGGCCACTTCACCCCCACACAGAAACAAGAAGCATTGCCTAGAAATACATGAAGTGTTCATTCGGAATAAGCTCTCCCCCTCCATAACGTCCCAAAGCACGGAGTGATAGTGATACCAAAAGTCTGTCCTCTAGAGAAGGTAACTTTTGTTATTTCACAGAATCACAGAATTATCTAGGCTGGAAGAGACCCTCGGGATCATCAAGTCCAACCATCTACCCTACTCTAAAGTTCTCCCCCAACACCACATCTAAACAGTTCTTAAACACAGCCAGGGATGGTGACTCAACCCCCTCCCTGGGCAGCCTCTTCCAATGCCCGACCACTCTCTCTGTGAAAAATTCCTTCCTAATGTTCAGTCTAAACCTACCCTGGCACAACTTGAAGCCATTCCCTCTTGTTCTATCATTTGTAACTTGGGAGAAGAGATCGACCCCCGCCTCTCTACACCCTCCTTTCAGGGAGTTGTAGAGAGCAAGAAGGTCTCCCCTCAGTCTCCTCTTCCCCAGACAGAACAACCCCAGGTCCCTCAGCCTCTCCTCATAAGACTTACTCTCCAGACCCCTCACATATTCCCTGCAATAGTTTATAGTCCAAAGAACATCTCAGTTTTACAACCCTTGGACTCCATTTTGATTTCTCATAGAGAAATACATAAATCAGGAATCACTAGAGTGGCCTCCTCCTTAGAGGAATATTTTCCTTTTACAACTTGAAAACTCAGTAATATTAGAAAATTCAGAAGAAATGTCTTTCAGTGTCAGCGCTAAGAGGTTTACAGCACACTGCTAACGTGAATTACAGGTAAAAAAGGAGACAACTTTTAATACAGATGAGAAAAAAAACAAAGCCACCTGGCTGGTTATTGCTTTTACGCAGGGATTTTGCACCTGTCTGTGTCTTCTAGAAACAGGGCCTGAAAACACCTTCTACTCACCCCGTTATCGTTACACTTCTGCTTTACATCACAGCTGTAGCCCAGGAGACTTGCATCGACACATTCAAAATTGACACAGGCCTGGAAAAAGTCATCAGGGTTTTTCAAACACAGAACTACCATCCTTTTATAAATATACTATATAAATGTGTATGTTTACAAGTCTACAGCTTTTACTTAAATGTCAAGAGAAAAGGCATTTATTACATTATGGCATAAAACCAAGAAAGCTATGTAATGCTTTTGGAAATTACAAACTTTCCAGTTGGTGGGATATATTCTGTGATGCTGCTGGGATCCATCCTACCTTCTTTTCTCCACAGGCTGTTCCATCATGAACTTGAGCAGGATCAGGGACATCTGACCCCAAGTCGAAGTCAGAAGACCAGCACAAAACCCCAGATGCGTTATTGACAACACTCCAAGCAGGAAGATTTTGAAGACTAACAGATGTGCACTGGAGCTTCCCACACAGACTGTGCCTGTATGGAAGGAATGACACCCAGAGACAAGGTCAACAGAAAAAAACCCCCGTTATCAGTGTAAATACACCATCTAGTTAAACTTTTTAACGTCCATTTCAAGGAAATATTCTTTTAAATCTCGTGCTCTGAGAGTTTGTAACGATATATTTATTACATTGAAGATTTTAGAATTAGCTTTTATTTGCTGGTGACTTACTGAACAGGACATTTCTTGTAGGTTCCACCTCTCATTCCACAGTTTCCAAACCTATCTCCTTTCATATTTGCTTTTTCAAAGCATACGTCAGGTGCTTTTCGTGCCCCTGTATGAAAAATAGCAAATCTTAACGAAGCCACTACACTATTTTTAAAACATCAGAATCACAGAAACTCAGAATCACAGAACGATATGGGGTTGGAAAGGACCTCTGGAGATCATCTAGTCCAACCCCTCTGCCAAAGCAGGGTCACCCAGAGCAGGTTGCACAGGAAGGTGTCCAGGGGGGTTTGAATGTCTCCAGAGAAGGAGACTCCACCACCTCCCTGGGCAGCCTGTTCCAGGGCTCTGCCACCCTCAAAGTGAAGAAGTTCCTCCTCATGTTTAGATGGAACTCCCTATGGTTAAATTTGTGCCCATTACCTCTTGTCTTGTCACTGGGCACCACTGAAAAAAGACTGGACCCATCCTCTTAACACCCACCCTTTAAGTATTTAGAGGCGTTGATCAGATCCCCCCTCACTTTTCTCTTCTCCAGACTAAAAAGACCCAAGTCCCTCAGCCTTTCCTTGTAAGAGAGATGTTCTGGTCCCCTCATCATCTTTGTAGCCCTCTGCTGTACCCTCTCCAGCAGTTCCCTGTCCTTCTTGAACTGGGGAGCCCAGAACTGGATCCAGTGCTCCAGATTTGGCCTCACCAGGGCAGAGCAGAGGAGGAGGATGACCTCCCTCCACTCTGCTGGCCACACTCTTCTTGATGGCACCCCAGGATGCCATTGGTCTTCTTGGCCACAACGGCACATTGCTGGCTCGTGGGCATCCTGTTGTCTATTAGGAGACTATAAGTCCTTTGATTGCTGGCTCATGGGCATCCTGTTGTCTATTAGGAGACTACAAGTCCTTTGCCATTAAATTATGAACATACCTTTTCCATATATAGATTCACATTGTGAATCAAAACTCTGGCACACTCCATAGTAGCAGTATGCCTTCGTGTTGTCGCAAGGGTACCCGTTCATGACGTAAACGTCGTCGGGGCAGTAGGCGTTGCTCCCGTTGCAATATTCGGGTAAATCACAGAAATCCCTCTTCGATCTGCACTCTGCTCCCGCCACTTTAAACTAGAACCAGAGAGGAATGTCACCCTTTTGCTTTTATTTTGCAATGGTGGAAGTTGCAACATGAAGCAACGACAGCCGGGAAACCTCGTGTGGCTTTAAGGAAGACAAAATAGTTTGTCAGATCAATTTCTTAGGAATATCCAAAAATTCCCTCAGTTTCATATAGTGTGAAAGTTCATAAAGTTTAGGAGCAGAGCCTGGGGAGAACTTGGGTAGATCATACAAATGTGTACAAAAGTACAAATTAAAAAGCAGGCAACTGTGACAGGCTTTGGAGAAGCTTGGTGTTGCACAAGGGAGATGACTCCTGTGTCCCCTGATGGCTCCTGCCTCCTACGAGGGATGACACAGAGATGACATGGCATTTCTAAGCTACTGGCCAAGAGCTGTTAGACAAAAATTCTCTGCTTACGTGCTGGTGAACATAGAGATAATGTGGAAATATGTCAAGTGCTATGATAGGTTTTTTTAACATTAAGAAATAGTAGTAAATCGTATCAATGAGGCTCAATAAAGCATAGCCCACCTTGCAATTTTTGCAGCAGAGTCCTTGAGCACACTGCGATCCAGGGGTGAGTTTGCAGGTTGCAGCATCACAGCAAGGGTTAGTGCATTCCTGAAGAGCAGCCAAGGACAAGGGGACACTGCTTTTACTTTGCTATACAGCTGGGAAAGTACATCATCAAACCAAGCACATGGACAAACCAAGCTTTAAATACAGCATCTGTTTGGCGTGGTCTGAGGCTGAGAGCCTTCTGCTCTCACAGAAACCAGCCTATACTTTGGCTGTTTTTTTTTTAAACCAGAAGTCATTAGAAAGACATTTGTTTTGATGTGTTGTGGCACAGGGATACAGAAGAAATTACTTTAAATGGACACTAAAAGAAGCAGAACAGTTTGTTCTTTAAATAACACTTCTTATCACCCCTCCCCTCATCCTGTTTTTCCACTACAACTACCAGTTTGATGTCAAGAAATGTTGATATCTTTTTATGACTTAGAAGAAGGCCTATACAAACAAACCTGGGTTTGCTGACAGCTTTTCAATTAATTGCTGTCTTTTTTGAGATGCCTTTATTTTCTAAAAAATAAGTCAATATATCCCATTCTTTGAGGGACATTTTGACTCTGCAAATATGACCAACAAAAGTAATTTTGTTGTGGGCGAAGTTGAAGGGTTACAGTTAGGAAATCTGTAAGTGCTCTATAGATGAGCAGTCTCTGATGTAACAGAAACACCCATTTTGCTAAAAACAGCACAAAACCCAATGGTGTTTCCACATACTCTGCACTGAAATGCTCTTCTTTCTTAGGCATTGGCTCAAAGTTTTGTGAAGTCCAATAGCCCTGAACTGAGTTAATGTCAAAATCAAAGCGCGATTTTAGGCTTTTTCTAAAATGGATCTTCATATTGCGTGCAAAAAGGTAAATTTACAAGGAAAACCCCTCAGTTATTAATGCAAATCAGGTATACCAAGAAGACCAGTGTTATACAAGAAGTATAGTATGATATGATATGATATGATATGATATGATATGACAACAAGTATCCAGTTAAATTTCATTCCTTACCTGTGGTTTGCCACAGTCACATTCTTCATTGCTATCGACCACATTATTACCACAGACAGGCTCCTTGTAAACGTGACTTGCTTTGGGAGGATTTCTAAGGCAGTTCCCACCTCCATTGAGAATAAGGTTCTCAAAATCATCAGCACTGCAGGTGCTGAAATTCCTGGATCCACTGGAAAGCATAATATTATTTGTTTTATTATAAATACTTCCCTTACAGGAAAAAGCACAACTCATGTCCTTAAAATATTGTCAATCTGTAATAAATACTGTGTTTCATAGTGTTAGGAGATCATGAGATACTTAATTTTCACTTCATTTTGCATTACAGTATAGCATTAGAAGTTAAAAATACTATATATAATATAAATGCATGTACTTTTCAGAAGGAAAAGAGATCATCAGATTACCCATTCTGGTGTCCTATATAAAACAGGCCTTAGGAATTCCTTGTCTGTGCTGAGTCTAAAAATGCTTGTTTAAAAAATAATTTCCAGAAAGACCTTTGCATTATCTTGGAGTCCCTAAGATCTCAGGAATGCATCTTCTTAGAGTAGTTTCATCCATTGCTTAACTACCCTGATTTATTAATATAAATGGGGATAAATAAAATAATATGATCTTTTTCTTGTAAGGGGAAGCCAAAGAACAAATGAACAGAAAGAAATCTAAGCTGATAGCTTTTGTTTAAACTAACTGTTAAAAGAATCTGTGTGAAGGACACAAGTTTGCACAAACTCAGTGAATATATATAAACCATTCTCAGCGTGGTAAAAAAAAATAAAAGCAACGTTCTATCATTAAAAAATAACAATCAGGAAAATCTCAGCGTGGTAAAAAAAAAAAAAAAGCAACATTCTATCATTAAAAAATAACAATTAGGAAAATCCAAATAAGTTTTTAGGGATGCCACAAATAAAGAATGACTGGATTAGAAAACATGTGACATTTCAAAGAAATTAAAATTATCTAAGTCAGTGAATTCACCTCTGTGATTAAACTTTTCAAACAACTCCCCATTCACAAAAGTTCTTCAAGATTCATAGGAGTTTCACAGCTCATAAGGCAGGTAAATAACGATTATTAAAATAAAACAACTGGAAATCTTACTTATCTGTGCTGTGCATAATATAGGATGCAGGACATCTTTTATCGTCATGTTTCATTCCGAGATTATGCCCCAATTCATGTGCAACTACTGTAGCATGACGTAACACATTGTTATGATTCAACTAATAAAAAGAATCAGTGTTAAAAAAACATACAACTAAAGACATTACTAAGTTTCTACCTAATAATTTATTCAAGCCACAAGTCTCTCAGAGGCTACGAGGACAGAATACTGAATTGTATTGAAAAGCGAAAGCAGCAAGAACAATTTGTCATGGTTTTTTTTCCAGTAAGGCCAGATTCTGCCACTCTTTCTATTCCTTCCATTAGGATCATATTCTGAATAATAACACAGTTAATCTGTCATGAAAACTGATCTCAATGGAGTCCTCAAAGACCAAAAGACTGCTAAAGAACAGCCTCTTAAGTTTGTCCATGATGTTGTGGCATCCATACTCCAAGGACAGGAACCTCTGGAGATACTGGTGCTGTCCCAAGGGTGAAGGAGAAAAAACTAGTGTCTGGCTAATTTTCCCAGATTGAAAATTCTTGCCCATTTACAGCCTCATTGTGTAAAATTGCAGACAATTTAGAACAGAGTGCATTACGTTCACTGTCTATCCACTTAAAGAGTCAAAAAATACACATTATTTTGTAGCTATCTTCCCATCCCAAAACCACTGTGGCTATGAACTTTAACAGTACAGGGATGGGCTTTCTTTATACAAACTTGAACTAGCTCAAATTCAAAAAAGTGATAAAAAAAATATTTCAGGATTAAGTCAGTCAAATGGACTGAAATGAAAAGAAATTTGAAAAAAAATAAATTATTTTTAATAGGATAAAAATGTGCACAAGTGTTTACATCGGAAGTCTCATATATAAATGTTCCACTCCAAGACCTGAGTGACTTGAGCAAATAAGTCAACAAATTGCACATTATTTATTTTGGACATTCTGAAAGGTACCTCTGTGGAAGCAAAGTCTGGCAATAGGAGTAGCTACAATTCTGGGCTCTGTAAATGCCCAAGGGAAGCCCTCTGATGGTTCAGGTACCTCTGGGTCTCACTAGCAGCAGATCTATGGTGGTTTAGCAGCTCCTGTGCTAGTTTCTTCCAACATTATGTACTTACAGTGCTGATTGATCCTCCCTGGACCTGTGAGCAGACGGTACCTACAAAAGCCATTCCAATGGATCCACCAAAAGAGCTTCTCCCGCTGCAACAAAAGCAGTTTGAAGGTGGTGTTGAAAGAGGGGCTGAAAGTTCATGATTTCTACTAAAAGACACTGATGAGTCTGAAACAAATACTGCAAGGCAAGAGTTGGTCTTCTTGAAGTGAAGAAGAAACGTGTTTCACTATAAGAAGAAGGGTTTCATTGTAATAAATAATGACCATCTGAATAAAAGACCTTGAAAATCATGACCTAAATCTACTATGTCAGTGCTTCTGAGCTCACAGAATCACAGACTGGTTGAGGGTAGAAGGGACCTCAGGTGGTCATCTGGTCCAAGCCCCCTGCTCAAGCAGGGCCACCTGGAGTTGATGATCTATAAAGACTTCATTACACTTCCTTGACATTTTTCCTCCAAGTTAAAACAGTTTGGCAGTTGAGTGAATTTTACTTTAGTTGTATTTTCATTCATACACAAATCCCAAATCATATACATTAATGACACTGGCAGCACGGTGAGTTTTTCCACTGAATGAACACTTACATTATGAGATGGCTAACATCATTTCGGGATCGTTTGAGAAGATTTTTCTGTCTCCAAGAAACAAATCTACCCAGTACATCTCCAGCTGAGCCATCCATTACAGGTATGTGGTTTGTATCTGTCCAGATCTCCAATCCAACCAAAACAATCTGGATGTTCAATGATCTATACATCTGAAAAAAAATATAATTATTGTCCATTATATTGTCCAATATAATGATAATTCAGTCTGGGTCACCTGAATTAACACAGATTACATCACTACTACTGTAAACATCAAGCTGAACAGAACTTTAGTTTCTTTGAATAATTAACATCTTGATGTGAGGAAAGAGTATCTGACTGAAGGTGAACTACTTCATGGAGGTACCTGAACATATCTTTCCATTGGAGAAGTTGGAAAGACCATGTTCATTCATTTCCTTAGCTAATTGTCTTGAGGAGAAATTGGGAACAGATGATCAGAGAGCTTATGGAATTGTTTGCTGCACTGAGAGTTTGCTTAATAAAAAAAGAATTACATAAATGAGAAATAATCTTCCTGGAAATGTAAAACCTACTGGAGACCTCATGGTCCTGGAACAGCCAAAATGTGAGAGCACAGAGAAGTGGTTTAAAAACTTCTTTCCTCTCTCCCTTTATCTAGACCTCTAGTGCAGATTCATGAGGTGCATTAACTGTGTTACAAATTGCTGTATAACTTCCAAATATAGTTTCAAAATGTAACTATTCAGATTTACTGCCTTAGCTGTTCTTTTGAAAACTATGATAAAACAGAAAACTACGGAATCTCAGCAACTTGTCTGACCTACCCCATCAACGTAATTGATCAGCTCAACTGTTTCCTTTTGCACTGCAGCAGCATCAGATTCCTTCATCAAAAACTGTAAAATATCGTATGAGAACATCAGAGAAAATATTTTACTGGTTTAATAAAACATATGTATGTAGCATTGGATGAAATCATTACCCTGTGGTTATCCACAACCACAAATAATTCCACATAGCTTTTCTGTGGCAGGACAGCTCGCTTCTTCTGCAAATTAGAGAACACAGTAAGTTAACATAATGACTAATGAGTTCAAGGTTTTTTTAATTATCTTTCTCATGATTTTCATTTCATGGATTTATTAAGCAATTATGTATTTTTTTTAATGTGGCCTATCAATTTGGTTATCTTTCTCATGATTTTCATTTCATGGATATATAAAGCAATTACATATTTTTTGAATGTGGCCTATCAATTTGCCTTACATTTCCAGATAAATACCTGTGTGTCAGTAATTCACTTCTGCTCAGACACTGGGATGCAGGAGCTGAATGGCAGCTTCATGCCTTTCACATCCTACCCACAACTGTCTTGGGCAGAGCTCAAGATTGCTTCAAGCTACATTAAATTCCCATTGTGCTGCTTCTCTGGTGTAGGGTTTCCACTGCTAAGTTTGGAATCCATGAACAATGAAAGCAAGAAGGAAGAAACCTCCCAGGCCAAACCCACCTGCAGTGATACCATGCCAAACCAAGAGCTCTGGAGACCCTTGGCTGCTGGACCAGACTGAGGAGAAGGCTTGGACCCAAGAGAGAAACAGAAAGGTGTTTACCCTCAAAAGCTTTTCCCTGCTAGAGGTACTGTTTGATAAAAACTCATATTTCACAGACTGCTTGACAAACATCTTGTCGATGGGTTGTTGATGAAGGCTGCCGTTCAGCACACCGCAACGGAAGGGGATGTCCTGCATATCTTCTAACTGGTAAAACACGTGCTCAAATGTCCTGGATGTGTTGAGTGGCTCCATTCCATACCATTTGCCACCAATGTAGAGAATTCCTCTGATAATCATAAAAGAATGAAAAATTATTCCACAATTTTTCCCTCGTGGTTATGACTAGGTGAATGAATGACAGCTGGATACTTAAAAACCAGAACTGTTCATACCACTATGTTGAAATAAATTATTACCTTAAATTGTCTTAATATAGGAGGTAAGTTCAAATGCCCAAGAGGATCTCAAAAGACAAAATAGAACTTATTTAAAATACTTGATCAAACACAAGTGTGGGCTCCTTGAATCAGTTAGTGGGAAAGCCAAATTGTTACAAAATGGGTCTGGATTGTGGGTGATGCAAAGGGTCGCTTTTAGTCCTTATCTCTAGACTCACTTCTTGCCCCATGCAGCTAAAGTAATCTAGCATTTTAGAAAAAGATACCTTCTGAGACAGAAAGAGAGGCTAAAAGCAATCAGCAGGGTGTTTATGAGGGCAACAGCAGCATTGCACTGCTGAGTGCAGCTAAGGGTAAAGATTTTGCATTTGCCCGTGGCTCAGAAACAGCTGCTATATGCCCATTTGCTCTACCAGAATCTTTCAGAAGCTATTACCTTGTTCCCCAGAATCTCAAAACTATATTTAGAAGAAGAATTCTCTAGTTAATACCTTGTGAAACAAGATCCTCAAAAATGTGAGTTCAAGGTAACCAAAGGATTTGAGTCTGAGTAAGCTTGCAGAACAACCAAAATGAAATATTTGTTCTGCTTAGTGAGATCCGGGGTTGACTGAAATAACAGTATGTTGACCCTTTTATTCTTCATTTAAAGGAATGTTGTTATTTTTTGTGAGTGGCATCTCACTGTGATACTATACATGAAAGATACGTGGGTGAACTTGATCCCATCTGCCTTTTCCTGCTTGTGAAAAAAACATCAAACTGAACAAGGCTATTACAACCAAAAAGTATATCCAACGTCCAGCACAGCGAGCACAGGGGAGCACGGACACACTCTAAACACATGTTGAATATCTCATTTTGCCAACTCACATGGACTGGCTCTGCAGGGACAATACCACTTTCTTCTATGCATTAGCCCATTAACCTGGCCCCTTTAAGTTTCTCAAGTAAGTATAATTTTTTTTTATTTGAAACACAAAAAATGGCTTCAATTTTGGTCAAAACTTTTTCCACATAAATGTTTTTTCTTTTGAAACCTGGCCATTCATAAGACAGAATTGTTTGCAGGAATGTGTGAAGGTCAGCAAAAGCTTAATCAGTGTTTCTTCTGCAGAGGTACCTCTGGTCAAGACATTCACATCTAGTAATAAAGGCCTCAGTTAATGGTGTTTCTCTCCAGCTGTACGATGAATAGCAACTGGTTTTTTTGCTGTTTTACTTTGGTACTGCACAATGCATTATCCTGAAGTAAAGAGCAAGAGGTAATACCTCAGGCCATCGCATGCGCTAAGAGCAAGCATGGAGTCAGCAATTCCTTCAACAGTGCCATGGTAATAACAGTGTGTCTGAAATGCAACAAAACCACATAATTAATGACAAAATAAGGTTGTTACCTTCAAATGCAAACTTATTTTCTAACTAACCTTTTTATTTGCATGACATTAAGCCTGGCTGTTACAAATTACATTATAGAGTTCCCTACTCTAAAAGTAATCATAGAAAGGTTTGGGTTGGAAGGAGCCTTAAAGATCGAGTTCCAACACACCTCCCACCAGACCAGGTTGCTCAAAGCCCCATCCAGCCTGGCCTTGAACCCCTCCAGGGATGGGGCAGCCACAGCTTCTCTGGGTAACCTGGGCCAGGGTCTCTTCACCCTCACATTAATCCCAATGTTCTTGGAGTAAACCATTACTTGACATGAGTACCTACAAAAGCATTTGGCCCCTTGGTTTTAGAAAACAACAAGCTTTTTAGTTTAACTCATCATCATCCTTTAGCAAAATCTTGTAATCTATGTTGGTCATCCTGTTCCTAAGAAGACTCTTCTCAAAAGCTGATCTGAGAAGATCTCCCATGCACAGAGCACCCAATTAACTCTCACTGACCTCACACGCGGTTGAAAGTTGACATTAAATTCAAAAGTATTTCTAGGTTGTGTTTGACACGGGACCTAAAAACTATAGAGCTTTGATGCTGCCATTGTACTTTTAATTGCATGCTATGCAAAGGTGACCTAATCAGGTAGCTCAAATTCAGCCTTGGCATAATCTCCTGCATCTCCTTTTGCACCTTGGAAAACAGCGGTGCTGTATCACCGTGAACAGCCCTCTCCCGCAGAAGACAGAACCTGTTTTCTATCAGTGGTAACAGTTAAACGAACAGCCCTCTCCCGCAGAAGACAGAACCTCATGTTTTCTATCAGTGGTAACAGTTAAAAAGAAACGCTACAAAGGTGAAAATTCACAAAAGCCTCTTTCCCAGCAAATACATTTTTCTTCTGTAGATACTTTATGTTCATCACTTGCATTTTCCCCTCCACTGGGAAAAACGCAACCAGTTTTCACTGCCCTATTATGGAGATAAGGCAGCTCGAATTAATGGTTGCACATTCACTTTTGCTTTGAAAATACATTTAGATGCGTACATATCCTTGTTGTCATCCTCAGGTCTATCAAATTGTTAGTACAGCTTCAACTCTTAAAGCTTGGCTTCCCTGGTTTAAGGAAACTCTTACACAAAAGGGGAATTTTATTACGTACGATACCTTGTTTTTTGATTGCGTTGCCTCCAGTTTCCCATTTTCCCCATATGTATATAGCATAAAGTCTTCGCTAACAAGCTTTCTGGAAACAAAAATAAACTACTGCTCTTTTAAGTCTATAAAGCAAGAAATAATTGAGGAATCCTAGTAAGTAAGTATTACATTCTGTTGGCAGGACACTCATCCTAAATTACTATTAAAATCCATGCATATGAAATAAAATACCTCAAAAAAGAGGTGCAGCATTTGGAAAAAAATCTTATTTTGAAATATTTTAACTAAAATTACCATAGAGTAGGACCTGAGCAGACTATCGTATTTCAGGGCCTGGACTATTACAGGCTCAGGAATGAGGAACACAAGTAACAGGCAAATTCCTTCAAGTACAACACAACAACCCTTCCCTGCCCACTACTAAAGAGCTGATGTTGAGCTGAATTCTAATATCCCATAAAGTTTTTCTGAAATCTATCGTGTGGTGCTAATAAAAAAAAATAATCAAAATAAGCTTCTGCACAACTGGGAAAAATATTACTTCCTCGTATTTGCAAGGGACCCCCATAACAGAGACACTATTTAACAGAGTCATTTTGTAATTACTACAATCTGCCATTGAAATGGTTCCTTCTGAAATTTTTCGGTATAAAAATACTTGTCTGGATATATATAGTCTGCACACTATAGGCAACTAAACCCCAAGATGGAATGGTTTCTTAGAACACTCTGTCACATACTTATTTTTCTTCAGTTTTAGGAGGTATGTTCCATTTCTGGTTTTAATTGAGTAAGAAAGGTTGTCATGTGAATGCTCCTGAAAACAGAACAGAAGGTATCACTTAATTAGGTGATTTTCTACTGGGTTGTGCCAGTTCCATGTTTTCTTTGACAAGAGAAGTACAACTGCTCTATAGGTCTGAAATACTTACTAGATTTACAAAACACACATTCCTAACCCTCACACCTTTCAAACTCCCAGCAGCACGCTCCACATGCTTTCTTATGGAAAGTTTCAATTCTACTAAGTATGAATTTTCATGTGGAAGACAGAATGAAAAGGTACACAAACTGCACAAGAAATTAACTATGTCTGTTGTTGCAGATTTGTAGAGGGAATGTAGATGAAATAAAGCCTACAGAAAAATGAAAACGTAAAATTTCTGGTATTAAAAGAACAGAAAAGAAGTGTTATTAAAGCTAAACCTAGACTACCCCGCTGCAGTTCTACAGGCTGAGGAACAGATGGGCCTCAGAGGCTAATAGAGAGGAAGCAGGTTCAGGTTGGATGAAGGTGGCCAGACTTGGTTCCCCAAGAAAGGCACAGCCCGTGTGTGCCCAAATATCACATCGTGTTTGTGACACTCCTTATACAAATCATCGGCAGCCGGATGAACGACTCACAGATTCTTCCTTCCTTTATCGGTTTGCGCAGAGATGACTAATTCTATTCCAGTAACAGTTACTTCAGTAATGGAACTCGTTATCTGGAACAAAGCTAACTACCTCAGAACTGAAGAATCAAGGCTCAGGTCTTTCTCTTTTAGCTCCGTCATTCAACCTGTGTGACTCTGTGGGATCTTATCTACAAAGTGAGCATCAGCCCTTTAGGTGCTACATGGTTGAAATCCTCTGATTATCTGAAGACCAGGTACAAGGAGAAAAAGAGCACCTACAGCTTGGATGTTAGTTCGAGTTCTGAGTTTAACATCTAATCTGACTTGGAGGAAATGGAAAAACTCTTCATGCTCTTTCCCAGTTCTGCCTTACAAGGATGTTAAGAGGAGTAGAAGTTTGGAAGAAGTTAACTTAGAGTGAAATCACAGACTTTTGTGGCAACAAATTTACTCAACACTAGTTGAAAACACTAAGAATCTGAAGAGACAGTGTGGCACACTTTTCTTCACAAAAATAATATATAGATATCATACATTGTGTGTGTGTGTAATGTAGGACAGTATTGTGACAAACAGCAACATCAGAAGAAAAAAAATCAGGTGTGTGTGTGTAATGTAGGACAGTATTGTGAAAAACAGCAACATCAGAAGAAAAAATCAGAGAGAATAACAAACCTCGTGAAAAAATGGGTGATGTTTCTCTCTGCCTGTCAGACTTCGAGGAATAATTATTTCTAAGGTAGAAAGTCTGGATGTCTGTTCAGAAGATACACCTAAAAATAAAGTTTGAAATCTCTAAAGAATCAGGATAAATATGACGTTATGCTGGCATCCACACAGTGGTGATTGCCAAAAGACCATTCTGATCCAGCCATAAATAGAGAAAGAAGAATTTCAGCAGTACATGGCCCGACTTTATAGTAGTAGAAAGTTGCCCTCAGCCTCCCGCATGTATGTGAAAGGAATTTGTGATTGGAAAGATGCCACAGAATCACCCACTCAAAGTGAGAAGGAGGATTCTTCAGCGTAACGATGATCTCTACCTCTTAGATAACATCAGGATTTTTAAAAGCTAGGTGCAGGTAGCATATGTTTAATATTAAAGACTGCCATTGCAATCAAAATGTGGAAGTTGCTACTAGCAAACAGGTCTGCAAAGAATATCGGCAGTCAATATTTACTTCTGACTTTACTCTTAATTGCCAATAATTCTATTATCTAAATCACAAAATACATTCTGTTTCCTGAGCTAAGTGTATGTCCAACTAACAGTGGAAATGCAGGTCTAACAATTTATATTTTGACACCTGAAAGCATGAAACCATCTTTAATGCATGTCATAAAAATATCACGTCCTATGAAATATTTCAGGTGTTGCATCTAAAGCTAAAATCTGAAGCCAAATCATAAATGGAAATGAGTTAATGAAGAACTAAAAACTGTAGGAATTTCCCTCACATTAGTGGAGATTGAAATCTTTTTCTCTAGCCTTTACTGTCGATGAGAGTGACAGTAACTGCAGTTGTCACAAGCAGTGTCCTGTACAGAAGATGATGTATTTACATACCTGCTACATCCTGGAGAAAAAAAACCAAACAACCACACACACAAGAGCTCAAGTATAAAAAGCTTCAACCTGTAATCTTTTCCAGACACATTTTTTCTTGAAGACGATTTTCTCAATTAGCAGGTTAGCTAATAGCCTAATAGGTGGGGAGAGCAGTGACCGATTTGAAAGGTGGGCATCATTATGATCAGGAGCAGAGAATACAAGAAGACTCGGAGAAACTTTCTGAATGCGTAACAAAAGCTGAAAGCTTACCTTTTATCCACAAAGGCTTTCCAGTTAAAGTTAGTCCAAAAGTGAAGAAAAATAGGCTGTGTTTTAACATGATTAGATTTCCTGGAGAAACAGGTACAGAATCCAAGCAGACAGTGTGTACCTGCTCCACGCAGGAGAACTAGAAGAACAAGAGCCGTCTGCCCCGAAGGTAAACAACAGAAAAAGCACTCCGATACTTCATCTCTGCTAAGGAAACGGGAAGTAAAATTTAATCCATTAGGCTTGCAAAAAAACTGGTTAGACAGCAAACAAAAGGCAGCACATTCCTCAATGCTGATTTGAGAAAGAGCACCAACCCGTGCCAGGGTCAAATGGGTTTATTCTAAATGATTTTGGTACCAGCGTGAGATCATGAGAGATTAGAAACATAAAACATTGCTACTGACAGATACAATGTGTAGGGTGTTTGTACTGGCTATTGGCAGCTCAGTAAAAAACTCCAGTATAAACCAGTCTACCCTTCAAAATTTCAGCTTGTTCTTTGTTTTCCATTTTTTCATCTTTATTTTAAAAACATCAAAAATACAATTGCATATGAACACATGGAAATTCCCCAAACAGGGTTTTTACCCATCCCCTTCTATGTTAAAGATAATTCTCCTCACCAAAAGTCTGTAATTCTGTGCAGCTCGTTGCTCTCCCAGGATCAGGATAATTTCCGAGGCATCATGCAACCACATTGTTGCCAAAAGCAGAAAATAAAGGTTTCTAAGACTGGATGAACTTGCAACACATTTCAAAAGTATCAAGCACATTTAGAAACTCAAAAAGGAGACCGACACAACACAGTTTTAATGCTAAAACATTTACATTCATTAATTAAAATTTATTAATTCATTGATTAAACCAGAGCAAATCCATTTTTCCATTGCTAGTAAGTAAATCACATAAAACGATGGCTAAGGTGAAAAAAAAGCAGAGATGCCAAGTGCATCTGTAATACGAGCTTGTTCGAGTCCATCTTTCTATTTTCACAGACCTAATTAACCTCCTCAGCCGAGCACCCAGAAGAACCCGATATCCGCCTTCCCTGGGTTTATGCCGATGCCGCAGCATCAGGAGCAGCTTTCCCCGACTCCAGAAGCTGGGATCCTACTGAAAATTAAATGAAACCGATCTTTTATTTATGGTTTCTCTCCTTTCGAAGCGGTACGCGATTAGCATGAAATTCTGGATTCTGGAGTGTGTCCAGAGAAAGTCAATGGAGCTGGTGAGGGGTCTGGAGAGTAAGTCTTATGAGGAGAGGCTGAGGGAGCTGGGGGTGTTCAGCCTGGAGAAAAGGAGGCTGAGGGGAGACCTTATTGCTCTCTCCAACACCCTGAAAGGAGGGTGTAGCCAGGGGGGGTCGGTCTCTTCTCCCAAGGAACAGGTGATGGGATAAGAGGAAACGGCCTCAAGTTGCACCAGGGGAGGTTTAGGATGATATTGGGAATAATTTCTTCACCAAAAGGGTTGTCAAGCCTTGGAAAAGGCTGTCCCAGGTTGAATCACTGGAGGTATTTAAAAAGACGTGTAGATGTGGTGCTGAGGGACATGGTTTAGTGACAGTTTCTGTCAGTGAGGTCGATGGCTGGACTCGATGGGACGGGCCCTTTCTACTTAGGCAATTCCATGATTCTAACTCGGGAAAATTGCGATGGCTAAGGTGAAAAAAAAGCAGAGATGCCAAGTTCATCTGTAATACGAGCTTGTTTGAGTCCATCTTTCTATTTTCACAGACCTAATTAACCTCCTCAGCCGAGCTCCGAGAAGAACCCGCTATCTGCCTTCCCTGGGTTTATGCCGATGCCGCAGCATCAGGAGCAGCTTTCCCCGACTCCAGAAGCTGGGATCCTACTGAAAATTAAATGAACCCGATCTTTTATTTATGGTCTCTCTCTCCTTCCGAAGCGGTACGCAATTAGCATGAAATTCTGGATTCAGGCGGGTGGGGGAGGGGGAAAATCTCCTCAGCCGCCACTGTCGCCAGCCCTGAGAGCCTGGAAGGCAGCCTCCGGGGCGGGAGAACACCCATTGATGGCCTCGGGGGTCCGTAAGTCTTGTGAGGAGAGGCTGAGGGAGCTGGGGGTGTTCAGCCTGGAGAAAAGGAGGCTGAGGGGAGACCTTCTTTCTACAACTGCCTGAAAAGAGGGTGTAGCCAGGGGCGGTCGGTCTCTTCTCCCAAGGAACAGGGGATGGGATAAGAGGAAACGGCCTCAAGTTGCACCAGGGGAGGTTTAGGATGGATATTGGGAATAATTTCTTCACCAAAAGGGTTGTCAAGCCTTGAAAAAGGCTGCCCCTGGTTGAATTGCTGTCCCTGGAGGTATTTAAAAAGATGTGGTGCTGAGGGACATGGCTTAGTGATGGTTTCTGTCAGAGTGAGGTCGGTGGCTGGACACGATGATCACAAAGGGCCGTTTCTATTTAGGCAATTCCATGATTCTAACTCGGGAAAATTGCGTTGCTCCCAATTTTGCTATTTCACACGTGCTTTTAAGGCTCTTCCATCCCCCCGAGAGAGCTTTATTTTATTAGAAAAAGGACCGATGCTGGCATTCACCCACACTCGGGGCGTTATGTCCAGCACCTGGCGCCCAGCTGTCAGGCTGCCCCACGCCGGGCCGCTCCCCTCTCTGCCAGCCCTTGCTCCCCGCTTCGGGCGGGTGGGCGAGGGGGAAAATCTCCTCCAGCCCTGAGGGGCTAGAGGGAAGCCTCCGGGCGCCACAACACCCATTGACGGCCGCGGGGGGCCCTCAGGCCCGGGCCGTACCTCAGACGGGGTCCCCGCCGCCCCGCATGCGCAGAGCCCCCCCCACCTCCGCCCCATCGCCTTGCGCAGGCGCCGGTGGGGCCCGGCGGTGCCCGCCCGCGGCCTTGCCATGGCGAGCGGCTGCGGGGCGGCAGAGGAGGAAGATGCGGCTACCGAGCCG